TGGAAAGAAAACAAGATTAAGAATGTTGACCCTACAATATCTGAGGAAGTCTCCATGGAAACAGTGTACCTAGCAGTAAGGAGAAGTACTTTTCAAAGTAAATGGCTGACTTCTGAGCTATGCTTGAAGTATAAATTCTTAAATAAATAAGGCATTTGTAAAAATATATGTGCGATTACATTCTAGATACTGTACTCCGAAGTGAATGCTTGTAGTTAGAATTCCTGTAAAGAACCAAAGCTCTTTTGGTGCAGGCAGGATCCAGCGTTTGCGTTTTTGAAACCTTTCCCCTTTTGCTGTAAGGGCAAAGGCAGTAGGTAATGCGGGGGTTTGAGCAGTGTAGCTCGGGGGGAGGTGACCCTTCCACTGCATGGGTGGATGTGTCTGTGTGTCTCTCCAGCAGTCTGTCCCCAAGCCGAGGGAACGGAACGGGAGCCGGTTGCGGTCCCGCGGGGGGTGGCGGGGAGAGCCCTCAGCTGCTGCCGGGGCACAGGCAGCCACTGGTGCTGATAACCCTCGGGGGGCAAACCTCGGCTGGAGCAGCCTCACAGCCAGAGTTAGCAGGTAGTGGCACACACGGTAACACTTCTCGGCTCTGGCAGCGGTTTTTTGGCAGGCAGTGATTTGCTGATTTCACCGGGAGGATGAAGAAGATGTGAGGAGTTACACAGAGGCAGGGAACTAGGGCGCAAGGGATGCACCAGGGGGAAGCAACGATTGAAGTTTGGATTGGAATTCAGGAATAGTAGAATAGCACTTGTTTTGTGCTTGGGACTGGGAGTCGGCAGTGCTGATGGTCGGTGATACTCCTCTGTGGTTTCCAACTACTTCCCTGGTGCTCTCTCTCATCTGTCCCTGCCTGAGTCCTCAGCTGACCGCTCTTTGTAATTTCAAGCATGAAACAAAACACTTGTTTTCTCATTAAGATTTCATAAAGATTTTCAGTTGAAAAGTCGTAATTTTTTTTTAAGGAAAAAAAAACACAACGTGGTCTTTGAGAATTTATCTCCAAATCCGGGTGAAACTTTTGTGATACTAATTAGTATCCTCTCCATTTCATCACCGCTGCTAATAGACCCTTAGACAAGTTAAACTTAGAGTGGTGTGTGAAGTTTTACTGGCCTCACCGTAACTTTTTGGGGTCATTGATAACAGAACATGGTAGTGCTATGAATCCAAATGCTGCGTCTTTAGCTAGTAGTTTACTAGCTAAATTAAGTAGCTTACTAGCTAAATATACTAGTAAACTACTAGTTTACTAGCTAAATTATGTCAACCAAAAATAAGATGGTATATTTCTGTAGTAACTATGGGATGGTTCTGTATATCTGAAGAAAAAGTTGGTGGTGTTTGGGTTTTGTTTTGGTTTGTTGGATTTTTTTTTTTTTTGGCTTCCCTCCCCCAAGTACTGTTCTGGTAACTTCGAGGAGCTCCACTGGAGTGCTAAGATCCCCTCTCTGTTCAAAGCTGTACAAAAAAGCAAAAGTACAGCGTCAGAAGGAAGAGCCTACAGGAGCGTCTATCACCCCAGCGTCCTGCTTTGGGGCGCAGGGGGGCCCACTCTCTGCTGGGTGGGCGGGGCTCTGGCTCACACGCGTTGCCGTGGCAACCGGGGTCTGCTGACGGGATTGGTTACCCTGCGGAGGGGTTGCACCTGTGGGGAGGGGTGGGCGGGTCAGGTGACCCAAACTGACCAATAGGGTGCTCCCTCCACCTGCCCGGGTCAGTATAAAAGCTGAGGGAGCAGAAGGCTTAGGTTGGCTCCTCTTCAATGGCTGGTCTTCTTTGGTGGCCCTCTTCCGTGGATGGTGTCCGAGAAGAACTCTGTCAATTTGTCTACCTTTGATCCTGATCAGAGTGTTCTGGAATCCAGTTCCCATTTGTCACTGAGTCCAGTCTGAGCTTTCCCAGTGCCTGCTGGTGAAATCTTCTTGGGATATTGGTACAGGTTTGTATATATTGCACCTATTTTATTATTTCCTTTTTTATTTTATTATTAATATTCAATATATATTCTGAACTCATAAATCTCTTTATCTCTCTTTTTCCTCGCCTTGGAGTCAGTAAGAGGTGGGGGAGAGCATCTGTTGTCGTTGGCCAATCTGGCCCAAACCACAACAACCAGAGATACATGGGTAGAATTTGCCACTGGGATATGGAGTGAACATAGTAGCCAACCTAACAGTCCATATTCTTAAGGAAAAACTTCCTTAATTGCTTTGATATCTGTAAAAATAGAATTCATAATAAAGTAAGCTTTGAAGAATGACGTAGAAGAATGAGGCAGCTTAATGGATACTACCTTCAGATACATGAGACAAAATACAAGATAGCATGGAAGTATATGATCATTTCAGGTTTTGGGGGTGGAGACGGGTGCTATAGTTGTCTAGAAGTGGAAACTCCCCTTTGCGTCCTGAGATGGGAGCAGAAAAGGGGTGTGCAATTGAAGCCAAGTGACTTGGGTTTGATACAACAAAGAATCTGAGAGAAGTGATTATGGTCAGTGACATGTCAGGTTATTTTTGTAGTAGCTCTCTGAAAAGATACAAACAGGGAAGACAGCACAGCCAAACAAAGCCTTTTCAGTAGTTACAAGATGACAGTCCAAAGGAGAACATCATTTATATAGGTGAGCAGGAAGCTTAGTGCTGTGTGCAAAAAATACTAGAAAGTTTCATTTGAGCTTGATGTGATTCGCAGGTATGAGTTGAAGGTGTAACCTCCTCTGGCATTGCACTGGTGTTTCAGGTAATATAATGGTATTTCTCGTGATGATTAAGAAAAGGAGGCAAAAGTAGAATTTGTGGAATTGCTATTCTTTAGTCATCTTGAGCTGACAGCCAGATATCCATGAGGAGCCGCCGAGGGCTTTGTCAAGTCTTTGATCAAGAAAAGAGACAAGTCTGTAGCCAATGTTAATGTTCTCTCATTAAGTTCATGTATATATATTCTCATGTTAAAATGAGAGAAGTCCCTTTCTTCTGCATAAGGTTGCACATATGCAGACACCTTTTCCAGAAGGTTTGATTAATGAAACTTGTTAGCTAAAACATACACTTTAACACTGAAATCAGGGAAGCTTTGAAGCATAAAACTTGCAAGAAAATTAAATTTAGTCTTATAGTTAAGCAAAAGTTAATTATTTCCTTCATAGTCCCTATGCTAAAGTTATTTAAACAAAACAAAAACTAACCTCCCCAAACCCCCAACAAACAAACAAAGCTGCAATCTTCCTTATCTTGAAAGAGCTAGTTAAAACACACATAGTCATTTTTCTTACTGAAGAGCTCCCTTGCCCCCTAGCCTGTAGAATTGGAGGATATATATTTCTCTGGATTGCTGCTAGTGGAAGATGGGAGGAAGTGCCAATTCAGTTTAAAGCCATGGGGTTCTAGAGCTTTACCAACATCTGTTGCTGTTGGCAAACTTCTGTGTGGTTGTGAAGTAAACAAGAAACTTTTTTTTTTAAAGTAGAAATACTTGTCTGTATTTCTTAGCCTGCAAGAATTTTTCCCCTGTCTCCTAATACTTTATTTCCATGTGTTTACTATGAGTGCTGCACGTCTTGTAGTAGCTGTGGAGGTTGGCATTTCATGATTCCCAGAACTTCCTCTACTATCTTTAAGCTGCTGAATAAGATCCTATGTTTTCTGGCTCCCATATTCAGATTGTTTTACCAAATATATACTTCAATATTTAAAAATCAGCATTCTATTTAAGAAATAGTGTCTTACTGACTGACAAGAGGCTTGCTATCTATTACCAGCTTCCACACAAGGTATTGCATTTTTTTATTATTGCTATTTTTTTGTCTAAACTAAATCTTTTTATTTGCAGAAGGACTCCCTGTTCCATTCTCCCCTGTTTTTCCTCACGATGGGCCTAAAATATCTTTTGCTGTAGTTTGCTTTATCAAAAAGATTGTAACCTGTCATCTGGGTTCACTCTTTGTACATCAACAGCATAAGAACAGTAGAACAAATGCTATTTGAGGACATTTCATAGAATATATGTTGGAACTTGCTGACAGAAGGAAGTTGCTAAGTCCAGGAGTATAGATGATTCAAAAAAAGGGAAATACTAGTCCTGTTTGCTTCTTAGGAACTAAATTCACTAGACTGGATAATGTTAATGTAGTGGCTTTCTTTTATTTCTTCGCTCAGCAGAGAAAATGGTTGACCTCTGGTGCGAGTTTTAATAATTTAAGTGTCAATTTGTCACCCGTATTCAAATGGACACGTAAAATAATTCACACTTTGAATTATGGTTTAGTGATGGTTTTTATCAGAGTTAGGTTGATGTTTGGACTAGATCTTAAAGGTCCCTTCCAACTTAGACAATTCTGTGATTCTATTTTTGCAGTCTTGTGTTGACATTGTGGCCACAGATAAAAGTTGTATTTTAAAGTGAAAGCTGAGCTAGACTAATGCTATAGAGTGCTGAATGACCACCAGCACCTTCGAAATGGACTAGCAGTTTCCAGCTGTAACAGGTAAGGTGTGATGTTTAAATCTGTGCACGGAGGGGATTCTTAAATCTGGCATCAAGGAAGCTTTTTAAAAGCTAACCTGATGAGTCCCAGCTGCTTCCTTGGCTGCTCTGACAGATACCATTAGACTCTGGCTTGTAGGCATGAGGGGGTTTTGTAAATTGGTCCTTTGTCACTTTTGCCTAAGAAAACTGAAATTTTTGAAGACCTCTTGAAGATAGCCGAATTCTTGGAGACTCGTGTCAGAAAAGCAAAAGTTTGTTGGGCATTGGAAGCCAAACTGCATCATTGTGCGAGTTTGTGAGCCTATTGCGCAGAGTTCTAAAAAGCGATTATGTGAAGTCTCTCTTTTTTCTTTTTTTCTTTTTTTTTTTTTGTGTAGTGCTGGCATAGCAATGCATCGCTGCTTTTCGTTGCAGGCTTC